ATAAGTCTTATTTTTAGTAGGTGCCAATAATCTATTTTGGCCTCTGTGTCTGCTTTTTTGTTAGCGTATATACTCGAGTATAAGCTGACCCAAATATCAGCCGAGGCACCTAATTTTACCACAAAAACTGCATTAAAATGTGCTGAAAAACTTGGCTTATACTCGAGTATATACGGTATGTTTAGTTGTGTGTTTATGTCTGTGTTAGGGCATTTAAGTTTGTCCCTACTTTTTCCTAGTAGATTTTTATTGTTCTGCTATCTGATTGATTTTGTATATTGACCTTATAGCGTGATTTATTTCCAAGAAAATTTTTTGTTGATTTAGCGTTTCTATGCATAGGATCTTATCATGTACAAATAGAGCGTGTTTTACTTCTTTGCCTATTTGAATGCCTTTGATTTCTTTTTGTTGTTTAACAGCTCTAACTAAGACTTCCAGCACAGTTTTTAATACGAGTGGTGATAAAAGACATTCTTGTCTGTTTATGTTACAAGGGGATGCTTTCAGTTTCTCCCCATTGAGTGGGATTCTCACCATTGGTTTTGTATATATAGCCTTTATTATGTCAAGGATTTTCTCTTCTATTTCTATTTTCTTGAGAATTTTTATCGGGAATGATTGTTGAATTTTTCCAAATGCGTTTTCTGCATCAATTATAATCGAGTAGTTCTTTTCCTTTGTCTTATTTATGTGGTGGATTACATTGTTTTTCTGATGTTGGACCATCCTTACATACCTGGTATGAATCCCAATTAGTCATAATTAATTAAAAAAATATATTGTTTAATTCTATTGGCTAGGATTTTGTTGAACGTTTTTGTGTCTATGTTCTTAAGGGATATTGGTCTGTAGTATTCTATTCTGGTAATGTCTTTGCCTGGTTTGTGTATCAGGGAATAGCCTCTTCATAAAATGAGTTTGGGTTCCTCTTCTGAGGGACCAACTCGTGCCCCTCTCAGGAAAGTAGCAGCTTGGAATAGAATATGGCCTGCCCAAGATGGCCTTGGGTGAAAGGAATGCTCTTCTCCTTTTGCCCTCCTTTGGCAGCCTACATAGATTGAAAAAAAAAAGTTTGGGAGTTTTTACTCCTTTATTTTAGAATAGTTTCTTAGTTCTGCACCTTTTCTTTTGTTGGGAGTTTAAAATGACCCAGTGTATTTCTTTTACGGATGTTGAGATTTTTATATCAGTCTATGCTGATTTAGGTAGGTTGTGTGTTTCTAGATATTTGTCCATGTGGCAGTTACATGACCTGTCAACTTGCGAAGGGGTGGAGTCTAGCCTGCCTGTCAAGATGCAGCTTGATGACCTCATATGGAGGCGTGGAGGAGATAAATAGCTCACTGGAGGCCAGCCACTCTGCTTATCTTCCTGCTGACAAGCCACATGAAGACCTCTGATGGATCCAGAACCCTGCAGCTGGAGGAGCCATGTGGAGACCCACACTAGCACTGAGAATCTTCCACTGCCACTGTATCCACAAGACTTTCCACCCATTGGTCTGTGATTTTCCTGTGTTCGGCCTCATTGCGTGGCTGTGTGAGTCTAAAGAGGAATTTATGCACTAGTATTGACATATAGGGTAATATCGGACTCATGGACTTGATCTGGACTGGGCTGGGATGTTTTCTTAATGTATAATTGCTCTTTGATATAAAGTTCTCTCTTACATATGCAATGTCTATGAATTTGTTTCTCTAGTCAACCCGGACTAAAACAGTCCATTTCAAATTTATTGGAGTACAGCCCTTCATAGTATTGCATTACTTACTACTTTTCTCATTCAGTTGGTTTTGATGTGATGTTGCCCATTTTATGTCTTCTGATATTTGTAATTAGAAATAAATATTTCAGAATATATAATTACATATTTTTGTGATTAATCACAAAATTATGTTCAATTTGTAATAATATCTACATATCAAATATTTATATTATGATTCATAACAATAGCAAATTACAGTTATGAAGTAGTAACAAAAATAATTTTATGGTTGGGTGTCACCACAGCATGAGGAACTGTGTTAAAGGGTTGCAGCATTTTGGAAAGTTGAGAACCACTGGTCTAAGAGGTCAAGTTCATTAATTGTTTTATTTAGTTATTTTGTATCTTTATTGAATTTCTTTTTGGGTTGTTCTAGATTTATTTGAAAGTGGTGTATTGAAGTCTCCTGCTATTATCGTATTATTGTATTTGTCTCTCTTCACCTCTAAGAATTTGATTAAGGGGCAGTTCTACCTTGCCCAGGAGGGTCGCTGTAAGTCAGCATTGACTTGATGGCAGTGAAAGTGATGCTACAGGGGATGCCTGATAGTGTTCTCTAACACAAAATGACAGTGATATTTCTAAGGTGAACCAGAGACATATATAAATCATAGATGCAGAAATGGAATTTGTGTTTGCACTTAATTCTATCCTCAGTTGATGAACAAGTAGTCTTATGACTGGCCGTGCTTGATGCTCTCATGAAGAAATCACTGTAGATATAGGTGCTATACTAAAGTGTGGTGAAGAAACTAAATGGTGCCTGGCTATCAGAAAGAATCGCATCTTGGGTGTTAATGGCATTTTTTCAATTAACCAGCCATCAAAATGAAGCGTAAACTAAGTCCACATGAAAGAAGCACACCATCCTGTGTGACCCAAGGATTATAAATTATATAGTCCAGAGCTAATAAAGGAATGATAACAGAATTTAAACTGTGAACCACCTGGCTTGTAGAAGGCTATGGATTATATTGGAAACCCCAAATCTATTTGCAGGGTCCACACATGGATTAAACCTCATAAAAATAATAATAATTTATAGCTTATCAAGGGTCCATGAGGGTGGGTGCATGGGGGAGGGAGTAAAAAACAATGAGTTGATACCAAGGGCTCAAGTAGAAAAAAATTATTTTGAAAAGGACGAGGGCAACATATGTATGGATGTGCTTGTCACAATGGGTGAATGGATTGTTATAAGAGCTGTGAGAGCCCCAAAATATGATTAAAAAAAACTACTCCCCATCCCCCTAAAAAAATAACCAAGGTTTAGGGGAAAGGTAGATATATTTCTATGACTCTTATCTCTGACAAACATTTGGAAGAAAGAAAAAAAAATTAAAACTGTGAATTTCCTGATGCTAGACAAATCTCCTCAAATATTTTATTAATATTGGTTTCAAAGAATCAAGCTCTGTGATAAGGCCGGTTTTACAATGGTTAGAACACTTGATTGCTAATGAAAAGTGGTGGTTTGAACCTACCAGCCACTCCACAGGAGAAAGATGAGGCAGTCCGCTTCTGTAAACATTTACACTTTGGAAACCCTGGGGAACCATTCTACTCTGTCACTGGGAGTCAGAACCACCATTGTTTGTCAGTGTGGCATACTGTAGTGGCCTGTGTGTTGTGAAAGCTAATGTCACTGATATTTCAAATACCAGCAGGGCAGTGGTGGACTTCAAGTGACTTAGCAACTGGTTTGCTGCCCTAGTGACCATTTTAAGTATAAAAAATGGTATATCGAAATGTAGTTTATTCTTTCATACAGTTAATATTAAATAAGAACGACAAAGAAGTACACAAAACTAGATCATATTATGAGAGTTTTAAGATATTAATGAAAAATATTAAATGATACCTGACAAAAACCAATTTTTTATTTAAAAAAAAATCTATTTGCAGGGTCCACATCTGGATTAAGCCTCCCATGAATCCCCTTTGATCACATTCATATTTGAGGAATGTGAATAGTCTTATTGTTAAATAGAGAGCATTGTAAAGTTAATTATGGCAGACATAGTTCGGTTAAAATGTGATATTTTAACATTTGATTTCCCTTTTTAAAAAAACCTGTTTCTGGTTTGTTTGTTTTTTTAAGTGGAGGGTGAATACAATTGGTGTCCAATTTTGCCAGCACCATATATTAAAGAGACTGTTTGTATCCCCACTGAATGGACTTTGACTCCTTGTCAAATTGATCACCAAATCCATTCTGATTCATAACAACTGTACAGAGCAGAGTCAAACTGCTCCCTAGGGTTTCCCTGGCTTAACTCTTTACAGGACCAGACAACTGCATCTTTCTTATTTGGCACCATTGGTGAGTTTGAACAATTGACCTTATAATGAAGAACCTCAAGGTCAGTAGTTCAAAACCACCAGTGGCTCCAAAGGAAAAGATGAGATTTTTCTACTCCTGTAAATAGTTACACTTTCAAAAACCACAGGGGCAGTTTACACTGTGCTATAGGGTTGCCAGTCGGGCAGAATTAACTTGATGGTAGTGAGTGTTTTGAGTTTAGTCTCTTATAATAAAGCAGTGTTTTATAATTTTTTTTGCATTTTGTGTTTCCAGTTAAGTTAGTTCCTAGGTATTTTATAGATTTGGGAGTGATTGTAAATGGCATTGTCTTCTCGGTTGTATGTTTTCAGTGTAATTTTGTTAGTGTAGAAGAACCCAGTTGATTTTGTTTGTTGATCTTATACCCTGCCATGTTAAGTTCTGTTACTTTCACTGGTTTTCTTGTGGAATCTTTCTTGTGGAATCATCTATGACTGCAAATAGTTTTGCTTCTTCCTTTCTAATTTTGGTACTTCTTATTCCCCTTTCTTGTCTTAGTGCCCTGGCTAGAACTTTTTGAGTACAACGTTGAATAAGACTGTTAATAATGAGTATCCTTGTTTTTCCTCTTTCTCGACTGGTGGTTTTGTCGGGTAACCTTTGGACTGCTGACTCCAACACTAGCTGTTCAAACTCACCGCCACTCTTCGGGAGAAAAATGAAGCTGTCTGCTCCCAGAAAGCTTCGGAAACTATGTAGCATCCCTGTGTGTTGAAAACTCTCAATGGCAGTGGGCTGGTTGGTTTGTGTCTGCTTGTTTGAGCTGTTTTGCTTTCCCCCTTGGTTTTTAATGGCAGCTTTTCTGGGTAAAGAATTCTTCGTTGGCATTTTTCCTTTCAGTATTTTATGTATGTTACTCCATTGTCTTCTGGCTTCTAGAGTTGCTAAGGAGATGTCCACATTGATGCTTTTGAAAGTCTCTTGTATTTTATATTGTTTTTCTTCTGCTACTTTCAGAATATTCTTATCGATTTTCAAGAATTTTATTAGCATATGGCGCACACACTTTTTGTGTGTCTCTTCTAAGTGGAGTTTGTGTAACTTCTTGTATTTGCGAATGCTTTCTTCTCTGTTCAGAAGTGGGAAATTCTTTTTGATTATCTTTTGGGAAATAGTTTTTGTGCCTTTGTTGTCATTGTGCTCTGGAATTGCAGTAGTAATTCTAATGTTTGATTTCTTAATTGAATCCCATTTTTCCTTTTGAGATTTTTTTTTAAACTTTCTTTGTTCTTTTTTCTCTGGAGACTTGATCAATTCAGTTATTTTGTCTTATAGTTCACTTATTCTGTCTTCTGTTTTTATTGTTGAAAACTTCCCTTGATTGTCTAAGTCAGCTGTGTGAGTCTTCAGTTCCTGTAGTTGTCTTTGTCTTTTTGGTGTTTTCATTTTCCATGTTGACTCTGGTTTTGTTCTTCCATTTGCTTCTTGCTCTTCGTTAGTTTGTTTTCAGTGTGCTTTTTGTTTTCTTTAAGCTTACTTAGCAGTGTATTCTGGAATGATCAATTCTTTTTTTTAATTAAAAGATCATTTTATTAGGGGTTCTTACAACAATCCATACATCAATTGTATCAAGCATATTAGTACATAGGTTGCCATCATTATTTTCTAAACATTTACTTTCTATTGAACCCTTAGTATCAGCTCCCCCCCCCACATGACCTCTTGATAAATTATGAATGATTATTATTTTCTTATCTTATAGTGACCGCTGTCTCCCTTCCCCCATGATATCTGTTGTTCATCCCCCAGGGGTGGAGGTGAAAGGGGTGGTGGTGGTTATGTGTTGATCGCAATGTTGCCCTCTTCCTTATCAATATTCCCATTCCTGTTCCTGGGTTCCATGTGTCATGAGCTCTTATCTCTTATCTGTACCTGTGTACATGCTCCAGTATAGCCCGCAGTGAAAGGCAGGATTAGGGGCATGATAGTGGGGGTGTGGTGGTGAGGAAACCTCAAGGACCCAGAGGAATATTGTGAGTTTTGTTGGTGCTATACTGTGCTCTGGTTGACTCATCCCTTCCTTGTGACCCTTCTGTGAGGGGATGTCCCATTGTCTACAGATGGATTTTGGGTCTCTGCTCTGACCCTCCTTGTTCTCAACAATATATTTTTTACATTTGTTTGGGGTCTTCTGATGCCTGTTACCCGATCCCATCGACACCTCGTGATCACACAGGCTGGTGTGCTTCTTCCATGTGGGCTTGTTGCTTCTCTGCTAGATGGCCACTTGTTTAACTTCAAGCCTTTAAGACCCGAATGCTCTATCTTTTGATAGCCGGGCACCCTCCGCTTATGATCAAGTCTTTAAATTATTGTGTTTTCCTTAGTTCATGTTTTGTTTTTGACTGGCCCTCCTGCTCTTGATTTTCATTTTACTATTATTTGTAAAACTATTTTTGTTTAAATTTTATGTATGTTCTGTTTTTTTCTGGCAACCATCTTGACTGGATGCTCTAGGGGCACAGTGGCCAAGTGTCCATTGTCAACCAAAAAGCTGGGGTACTTATTCACCACCCCAAGGGTAAAGTTAGACAAGACAAGCTTCCTCTGCCAAGATGTACAATCCCAAAACACATGGGGCAGCTCTTCTTAGCCCCATAGGGTTGCTCTCACTGCCATCTAGTTGATTACAGTGCTTGGTGACTTTATAGGGCAGAGTAGAACTGCTCCTGTGGGTTTCCATGACAGTCACTTTTTACAGGAATAGAATGTCTTATCTTTCTCCTGAGAGAGGCTGGTGATTTCAAACTGCCAACCTTGTGGTTAGCAGCCTTATGTGTAACCCACTACTGCAACAGGATTCATACTAGTTTGCTATGAGTCAAGATTTACCCAGTGGCAGGGATTGGCATCTTTTGAGAATTGCTACAGGGAATTCTTATCCTTTGGACTTTTTTCACTGTTGATTTAGGAGTTATGGATGCGTTATCTTTGGAATTCAGTATGCATGTGTAGGGGAGCGGTTTAACTGGTCACAAGCACTGACATAATTGATGGGGCTCAACTTTGCTGTGGTGAATGAGGCTGACTCTGTTCTTGCCCTCATGGATGCTCCTGCATAGGCTCACCTCATGGTATCCTGCTGTAAGAAGTTTCCATTTATGCTGACCTGTCAAGCTGAAGTACTCCTTTTGTCCTGCTGTGCTTGCTCTTCCTCCCACTCCCGTGCTTGCCTGTTTTGGGCTGCAGTGAGATTCAACAGCACTTTTACGCAGTGCTGCTGTTTCCCTTTGCCCCTTTCTAGTTGTGTGGCCTGTGAACTTCCACAACCAGTTAATATTCCTTTAAACAAATTGGGCTACAACTTCCTCAGATTACCACCTTTTCTGTGCTCCCTGTTTGGGGTGTTACTTAGCCAGAATGGCTGCAATGAGTGAGCACTCTTGATGTCAGTGTGTTGGTTCTCCTAGTTTCTGTGCCATCCCTGCTTCTCTTAGCTGCCATCCAGAAAGTTCTGTGATCTCAGTCTGGGCTTGCAGTTATTCATTGTTCAGTAAGTAGGTAGTTGGAGGAGAAGACAGGAGCTTCCATTCACACTTCCATCTTGCTCTGCCTCTTATTTTACTCCAAAGCAAGCTCACTGCTACCAAGTTGGTTTTAACTCATAACAATTCTGAGACTGAATCTTTACCAGCATAGACAGCTTCACCTGTTTCTCTCAGAGTGGCTGGTGGTTTGAAGTCCCGACTGTTGATGGAAGTCTTCACGTTTTTAACTGTTCCTTTTATTTAGTAATTATTTCATTGCTGTTGTCTCTATTTGGTTTTTGCCGTTTAAGGAACAACAACTAAAGAAGATCACAGCAAAACAAAAACATCTTGAAACCACCCTTGGAAGAGCAGAGGTAAAAGTTGAAATAGATTCTGTCAGCGTGGAGGAAGATGCAGGTAAGGAATCTTTGACCCATTTTACTGTGCTCTTGAATTGATGCCTCTCCTGAGTGGAGAGGATTTTGTTCAGCCTTTGCTGGATTGTGAGGAAAATGCATCTCTTGGCCTTTACTGTCAAAACGGAAATTTCATCCTCCACACCTGCAAAAACAAATCTGTTCAGTCATATGAGGTTTTTAGAGAACAAAAGTAAAAAATTTTACTTAACTCATTAGAGGTTTCTGTTGTAAACTTTGTTTTATACTTAATAAATTGGAAATTTAGTATGTTTTATGTAGTTAATTTGGTAAGAAAACTAACATCTTGATTGAATTATGTACGTCTTCATTATATTGCAAGCTCAGCATCATCAATTAGCTTCCATATAATTGTTTTTATATATCTTTATAAAACATTTTACAGGCTTTTCAAGCATCAATTTTTTAAAATGCCATCTTTATATGAAAATAATAATCTATAACTTATCAAGGGTTCATGAGGGAGGGCGAAAAATGAGCTGATATCAAGGGCTCAAGTAGAAAGAAAATGCTTTGAAAATGATGATGGCAGCATACGTGCAAATGTGCTTGACACATGGATGTATAGATTGTGATGAGAGATGTAAGAGCCCCCAATAAAAGTACTTAATAAAAAGAAATGCCATCTTTATTTGGGCTACACGGGGCCATGCAGTCTTCCTTGAATGGTCATTTTTTGGAAAACCTTTTAGGAAACTATGTGGCTGTGGAGCTAAATGACTGTTGTCATTTCCTATGTGTAGACAGAGAGAACAGAGATTATTTACAGCTACTCAGTCATTTGCTGCTTGAAATTCAAGCCTTCTTGGTATTTCAGATCTTCAAGCAAATATCTTCTACTAGCTCCATAAGTTTGCTATCGTAAGATGATAGAATTTTTAAGAATTTGTTGAGGCAATAGAAAAAAGATTAGATGTGCTTTTAATGTTCAGTCTAAGAATTGGCTAGGCCTACCGCTAGTGCTTTCTGCTGCTTGGCTCCATTTTCCTTATTGGAGACAGTTTTTGTTTTCTGTTGTTCACCTGTGTTACAACTTTAGTCAGTCTTTGCCTAGAGTCGGTAGTCAGTTCTCCAGATCCAGACTCTCCCTGTCGCCTGTGCAGCCTGACACTTCCCGTGTCTCTCTCTCTGGGTTTTCTGACTACTTCGGTTCAATTATTTTTGGTCAGCTCTTCCGGCCATATTTTAAATGTTTATGTCTGTGGGGATTTTTTGATTCTCTCCCTGAATAATCCCATCTACTTATCATGGGCGATTATAGCCACCAATGTAATACCAAACAAACCAACTGCCACCCAGTTGGGTTCTACTCAGAGAGACCCTACACAGGGTTTCCAAGGCAGTGACTCATTATGGGAGCAGACCACCTCTTCTTTCCCCCATGCAGTGGCTTGCAGGGTTGAACTGCCCACCTTATAATTAACAGTTCACCACTTACCCTATAGCGCCACCAGAATTACAGTACCTAACAAGCCTGTAGATTTCTGACCATGACCTTTGTTCTTAACTCCTGGTTCCTAATGTACCTGTCTATCTAGGCATTTGCAAACCCTTCAAACTCTTGGCTTCTCTTGCCACCTTTCTTCCAATGCTTTTTCCCTTCATTGGTACTCTGAACCCCATCTGAGATAGTTATAGAACATAGTGTTTAAGAATCCCGACTTGTGCACTCAGCTCTACTTTCCCTAGGTGTGGACTTTGGCTATGAACCATAACCTCCATCATTCTGTTTTGTGCCCATGAAATAGGCATAACAGCAGCTGACCTTTCACTTTCTGCTCACTTGTTTCCCTGAGCTTTCTTTTTCCCTCATTCTCTACATGGTGAGCCATTCCATGAGATTGTTGTGAAGATTATCAGCAGGGAATTCTTTCCTAGTGTTAGATCCAATGAGGATAAATGGAAGAAGAAAAAACAAAGAAACTGTGAAAATTGACTTTGACCTCTTTCACCCCGGATGAGAAAGGTCTGAGATGAGGCAAGTGTGCTTATTGTCGAACATTTCACTGGATGTTCTTAACCAGTTAAGTATTGGAAGAAAAAAGCATAAAGATTCAGAAAATCAATATTTACAGATTATATTATTATTATGTAGAGGAGTCAATGAATATTCTTCCATTGGTAGTATTATTTGATTGTAACATAAGGTCAGTATATACAAATCAGTTGTATTTCCATATAACTAAAATAAAATTTTAATTTAATAAAGATGCCAATGCCAGCAAAATTTTAACACCTAAGAGAGATGTTAAGAAAAGAAAGAAATCTTAACAACAACAACAAAGTAATTTTATGTAATATTTCTACATTAAAGGCTATGAAATAGCACCAAGAAATTAAAGAAGACCTAAATAAATGGAGAGAAACATTATGATCATGGATTAGAAGATTCAGTATAGTAAAGATGTCAGTTCTGATGCCAATCTGTCATTTCATTGCAACTTCAATAAAAATTTTTGGGTTTTGGAAGGGACTAGGTTGAGCTGTGATATTTGCAAGCAGATTCTAAAATTTACATGGGAATGCATTGAGCCAAGAATAACCAATGCAGTCCTAAAGAACAAGATGTTAAAACTCATTATTAAGCTGTAGTAAATTAGGATCATGTAGTTTGGGCACAAGGATAGATCAATGGGGCAGAATAGAGAGCCCAGCAGAGAGCCACCCATATATGAGCATTTGATTTATGGCAAGAGGCAGGCCAGTGAATTGAAGGAGAATAGTGTTTTTAATAAGTGGTGTTAGTTTAAACTGTATGAGAATAATGGATTTAGACTCCTTGCACCATATAAAAAAATAAATTCTAAATGAATTGTATTTCCAAGAGTGAATAGTAAAGCAAAGCTTTTGAAATATGACATAAAAACACTTTTATGATCTTGGGCTAGGGAAAGACTTCGTAAACAGGATACAAAAATGCTCACTATAAAGGAATAAACCTATTAAATGGACTACATAAGACTAAGAATGTTGGTGTCAAAAGATAGTGTTAAGAGAGTGAAAAGGCAGGCTGTGGTTTGGGAGAAAATACTTGTAGTATATGTATAAATCAGAACACTTGTATCTAGTATGGGTTAAAAACTCCTAGAAATCATTTTTTATAAGAAGACAGACAAAGAGAAAAGTAGATACAATACTGAAATCTTTTCTTAATGAAAAAAAAAAAAAATCCCAAAGATTGTGAAACCTACTGGTTTACCAGCATTCAAGGCATTTACGTTCATTAGTCTTCAGAGAAGTGCAGCTTAAAGCCACAGTGTGATACCACTGTGCATACACCAGAAGAGCACGAATGATGTGAAAACTACGTGGAATACTTAGAACTCTTACACGCTGATGCAACTGCAAATTAATAAGCCGCTTTAGAAAACGATTTGCAGTGTATGTTACACTAAAGGTTAACCAGCTCAAATAATGGTATCCATATATTCTCACAGTATGTTCATAGGAACACTATTCTCAGTAGCTAAAACCTGCAAATTATCCAAGTGCCTATCAATAGTAGAGTGGGAAAATGGAGGTACATTCACATAATAGAATACTAACAGTGAGAAGAAATGAACTACAATTACATTCAACAAGTGAAAATTTCAAAAGCTTCTGCCAAAGAAGCTAAACACGAAGTGTACAGATATTTCCATTTCTAAAACTTAGATTTCTTGGGCAGCGTAGTCATGACTTAGGGGTGAGCTTATAAATGGAAGGGGACACCAAAGGCACCTGGACATGCTAGTGATGTCTGTTTCTTGATTTGAGTGCTGGTATATGGGTATGTTTTCTCTGATGGCTCATTAGCTGTACATTTATGACTTGTGCACTTTAATGGATTCATGAAAATCTAGCTGGAGCATTATTAGTGTAAAAGAATCTGAGATTTTAGAATATGGATTCTTTCTGATTAAGCTATTACTTCCTTTGGTATTTTTGTGGTATGGTAAAGTAATTTTGCCAGAGAGTAATCCCCACTAATGAAACTGATAGTGCTTCAGGGTTTGTACTTATTATGGCATAACTTCCCTATTCGTCTACTACAGTAAGGCCTATTAGGCTTTTCTTCAATGATGGAAATGCTATATATTGGTGTTCTATAGCTGCAGTATGACTGTTAGCCACATGTAGCCATTAAGGACCTGAAATGTAGGCAATAAAAATGTGGAACTGAATTTTAAATTTGAGTTTATATAGTTACATGTACCGCTAACTCTCATATTGAGAGTTAATGTTTATATTTCCTACTTAGGTGCATGCTGATTCTCTAGGTGTCTGTTTACTTTCACCTCTTTAATTCAGGCCCATTTGAATGCTAGTATTTGCAATGATGTGACAATTTGGGAGAGTGTTTCTGCATAGTCTATTCTTCCTTGATAAAGAAGACATCACTAAATAAGTCTGTCTTTGGATGCACAGGAGAGGATATTTATAATGGTGTATCTTGCTGAAAGGGTATTGAAAAATCAGTTTAAACAGGACTATTTTGAATATAACACAATCTATCCTGTAATAAATTGCACTCCATTTTCCATATCTATTATGTTCTTGTACATTAATGATTTAAAGGAAAAATCTTATGTGTGCTAAGCAATGAACTGCTAACCACACCATCAGCAGTTCAAACCCACCAGCTGCTTTTCAAGAGGAAGATAAGGTTGCTAAAGATTTACAGTCTCAGAAACCCTATATAGAGTTGCTATGAGTTGTAATTGACTCCATGGCAGTGGGTTTGTTTTAGTTTTTTTTTAATATATATATATATTGAAAGGAGCCCTTCTGGTGCAGTGGTTAAGTGCTCACTGCTGTCTTGAAGATGTGGTCAGACTCACTCCTCACTGTAGAAGAAAGATCTCCAGTCTGCTTTGTAAAGATTTAAAGCCTTGAAAACCCTACGGGCAGTTCTGCTTTGTCCATAGTGATGCTTTAAGTTGGAATTGATGCTGTAGCAATGGGTTTAATATGTACTGAATAACCGACTCTGCCCATGTGTTGTTGGTTTTGCAGAGCCAGGACCATCCTGCCTGGGGAGCATGCTTATGCCTGCTCAGGAGACTGCCTGGGAGGAGCTCATCCGCACGGGCCAGATGACACCTTTTGGTACCCATATCCCTCAGAAGTTGGAGAAGAAACCTAGGAAACTAATGCTCAATGAAGTATCAGGCTTTGAAAAGTATTTGGCAGATCAAGCAAAACTGTCTTTTGAAAGAAAGAAGCAGGTTTGTAATAAAAGAACAAGGAGAAAAGCTCAAGTCTCAGCTGCTTCTGAGTTGAATCTAACACTAAATGAAAATAAACAAAACCAGAGAAGAAAAATTCTCTCAAAAACAGATAAGTGTTTAAAAAGGCATATCAAGAAACTTCAGAAGAGGGCTCTTCAGTTCCAAGGGAAAGTAGGGTTGCTAAAGGGGAAAAAACCACTAGAAGCAGATAAGAAAGGGGAAGAAGGAGCCTTCCAGAGTGATGAGTCTGATTACATACCCAAGGAAGAGGAGATGGAAGAAATGGCTGAGTCCGACCTGTCTGAAAGTGTTGATTATGAATTGAAACCTCTGCGCAGGCGTCAGAAACAGCAGAAAAAAGTCACAGCGCAGGAGATTGATGAACAATTTTCCCCAAGTTCTGAAGAAGAAATTGAAGCGGCAGAAGGACGTGGGGGAGGTCGTAAAACAGTGAGATGCCGAGATGATGGAGATGAAGATTATTTTAAGCAGCGCTTAAGGTCAGTCAGCAAAGATAGATGGAAGTACTTGTTTTGTCTCAGGCAGCAGACTTAAGAATACATAAAAATTGTAGATATAGTTTATTAGCCTCCTGTTGTCCAGGATTTTCTGTAGCCTTAGCCAGCTGGAACCAGCAGAGACCCTGAGTCCTCTGACCCAAACCTAATGTTTATACTTCTAAGTCTTCATTCACATTTGGAGTGGGGTGGTGGTGGCAAAGCTTAGGGAAGAAAAGCTTAGTAGAAAGGCTGGAGTAGAGGCCTGAATGAGGCTTGAGCTGACTGACTCTGACATTGAGAATGGTCGCCCCGAACAGTGCTCAGGGAAACAAAACAGTTGGCTTTCTTTCAAAGTAGCAAAGTCTATTGTTTTTGAGAACATTCTTTCAAAAAGCTAAAATTTATTTCAGATTTAGTATATGGAAGAAAAGCGTGCTTTCTTTAAGTTCTTCTTTGTTTTGATAAAGTAGTTATCTACAGAATCATAAACCACTGCCATGCCAAAACTGTACTTAAGGAATATAGTATGCACTTCCTTCTCATTGCACTTATGGGTAAAATGTCAACTTCCTTTTTTACTGTATTTCTACTGTACAGTGTATGCTTCCTTTTAACTCTTAATTTTATACCAGAGATTGACCCTGCTTTTATGTCATTGACTTTGTCAGCATACAATAAAGGTAATGTATAAGAAAAGATAAATGTATATCAGAAATCAGTGCTATGTATTACTATGTACTTTGTGAGCCATAAAAATGTGGCTTAACGGTTTCTCAAGTGGTTCTGTTGAATGGCACACAGGCCATATACATTCACTTACTATGTTAGACAGGGTTCTCTAGAGTGATAAAACCAAATTGCTGATAATTAAATATATTTATTTATAAAGATAATTAGATATATAACAAGAAATGAACTGTTAAATCATATACAGATAAATATATAATACAAGAAATGAACGGTTAAATTATAAAGCACTACAAATGGCTCAGTGCAACTAACTCCCATGAGAGAGTTGTGAGAGACTAGCAGTCCTTCAAGTCTAGTCTGCTGCCAGATCTCCCTCTATTTATAGAGAGGCGCTATCTCAGCACAGAAGCCAATCACAAGGCAGATCACCACCTGTCAACTAACCACCAGTCCCAACTGCTAGTCCCCAGTTCCAGAGATGTCTTAAAGGGACTTCAACTTACAGCGACACAGTCCACAGGCTAGGCATCCCACAGGTAGTGTAGCCTATAAATTGAGGCACAGAACAAGCAAGGCAGCCAGCCGCACACTGGTCCGATGATCAAAGAGCAAGAGACAAGAAAGGTGAGGCTCACCGAGCCATTTATCTCTCCGCCCTTCAGTTAATCCTACTTGTGTTTATCGGCCAGGTGGCACAATAAACTATCTCACTTACTAAGCAATTTAGAGTGAAAAAAATAATCTGTCTAGCTTTAGTAACAGATTATTCTTTTATGTTTGTTCCTAGGGATGGCTTTTTCATAATCCTAAATATTTTTTCCCTATTTCTCAATTTGGGGAATTGAGGGGGGAGACCTAGTTTATAGTGTTTATCGTAGCTTTCTACCAGCTTCAGTATATGAAGATTTACCTCATCTTATCCTTCAGTTCTTTGGAACTGCTGATATTCTCTGCCCATTTTGCCACACACATTCTATAACATTTTAAAAGTAGATGCAGCCTGTTGTTGTTGTTAGGAGCCATGGAGTCAGTCAGACCCATAGCGACCCTAGGCATAACAGAAGGAAATACTGCCCAGCCCTGCGCCATCCTCACTTGTTTCTGTGCTTGACCCCATTGTTGCAGTCACTGTGTCAACCCATCTGGTTGAGGGGCTTCCCCTTTTCCCTGCTCCTGTGTTTTACCAAGCATGACGTCTGTCTCCAGGGACAGCAAGTGCAAAGTATGTACAATGAACTCTCAACATCCTTGCCTCTAAGGAGCATTCTGTCCATTCTTCTTCAAGATAGCTTGGTCTGTCCTTGTAGCAGTTCATGGTACTTTCAGTATTCTTTTCCAGCACAACAAATCAAATTAATTATTCTTCATTCAGCTTTAGTCAGTGTCCAACTTTCACATGCCTATGAGGCAATTGGAAATACTGTGGGTTCGGTCAGGCGCACCTTAGTCCTCAAAGTAACATCCTTGCTTGATCCCCAAAGAGATCTTGTATAGCCGATTTACCCAGTGCACTGCATTGTCTTTTCATCTCCTAACTGCTGCTTCCATGAGCATTGATTATGGATCTAAGCAAGACAAACTCCTTGACTTCAGTCTTTTCTCCATTTATGATGTTACCTGTAGGTCCAGTTGTGAGCACTTTGATCTTCTTTATATTGAGTCATAATCTATACTGATGACTGAAATCCTTGATCTTCATCAGCAAGTTCTTCAAGTGCAGCATAGTTCTTTAAAAAAATAGTTCATAGATCTAACGAACTGACCCATGCTCAGTTCTCTAGAGGGGTTGCATTCACATTCTAGTGCTACCTTATGTAGAAAAATAAAGTTGAAGAGTCACTTAAATTTGTCATTTCTCATAGTTGCCTTGAAGTTATTTTGCACATTAATATTGATAAAATTGAGGAGTATGGCACAAATACTCCTGTGTCTTTTTCTTAATTACTTTAGAAAATTAATAAGCATTCATCTCAAATTATCGATTTGAAATGGGACAATATACTCTTTAATTGAATTGGCTCAATATTAAATATAGTTTAACTATATCAGTATTTTGATGAAGAGCAATTTATTTTGATGGCATTTTAAATAAGGGTTTAGTTTAAATGCATGACAATAGTTTTTCTCAATAATGTTAAGATTCTAAAATGGTTTTTATTCCTATTATAAGCCTTTTTTTTTTTTTTTTGGCTAATGTTACAGTAAAACTTCAAATTTCAGAAACAAAAATAGTTCTAATTGCCACCAAAATACTATAACTCTGAAAATTTGCTAGCTTGGTCTTGAAGTCTTCTAAATTGCAGTTATCCACACTGTATTCTTGTATGAAATCTCCTTGACTCTTTGGAAATGGGCTCACTAAAAGAAAAATTAAAAAGGCGAGGACTGAGAAGCATATTCAGAACATTTTAGAACTGCTCACCACTTTTCTTGATATTTTGTTACTTATTAATTTTCTCTATACAGAGAGTTCACAGTTATAAACATCCTGCTTAAATATAACCCGTGACAAACCAACCCCAGTAAAGCCTATTATGTTGAAAACTACAGGTGTGCACAATGGTCCTTAGTCGCAAGCACATGCTCCTTTTTGACACATATCAAAGTGTCACAAACATTGTTACTATTATTATTACTGTATTATTCGGTTTAACATATGTTAGTGTATCTGGAGGTGTTTTTTAATGTTTCTCATGCATAGAGAGAAGTACATTACGTGCTAAGGTAAATAACTGACTGAAGGACATTAGCTAGAACAGCACCCAACTGTTCTAACATCAGTACAAACATGACTTAAAGACAGACAAAAGAATGGAACTCATTCAAATCTGGGAACTTTCTGTAGACTTACTGAAATTATACCGTTCCCATGAATGAAGAAAAAGATTACTTCTTAGGATTGGACTGATGATCTGAATTATGCTGTATATCTTACATTAAAAATGAGGTTTTCTTGGTGATTAGACTATAGAAGTATATATATCCAGACTAGGCACATTATATTGAATGTGAACTCTTAGAAGTGAGTACAAATGATTCTGAGACAGCTCAGATTCATATTTTCTTAATGTTAGATCCATAGGTCTTTAATTAGCTCTCGGTTATTACATCTTTGTTTTAGCTCACTTTCAGTGGCAATTTTATATCAAACCTTTCCTACAGATGAACTTTGTCTGGCACTGGGCAATAATAGCAGTGATTCTGCTGTCTCCAGTTAGCCTAAAAACCTAGAATAATCTTTAACCCTTCATCATTTTTAAACTTCTTATGCATTTTTTAGAAGTTTTGCAAGATCAGCTACCTGAATTTAGAGACCACCTTAAGACTAGAGTTGACATATCGAACACTACTGACTGAAGACCAGATGAGTTGTGTGATGAATTCAAGCTCATCATGCGTAAAGGAAGCAAAAGGACATCGAAAAGACAGGGTAGAAAGAAAAGACCAAAGTGGATGTCAGAAGGAACTCTGACACTTGTTCATGGAGGTAGAGAAGTTAAAGCTACTGGAAGAAATTATAAACTCAAAGAACTCAACAGAAAATTCAAAGTATTATTACCTGAAATGTACAAAAACCTGAAGTTATAGTCAAAAGGAAAGAAGATGGTCAGCATATCTCAAACAAAATTAACCCTCACCTTTCAATATTGAAGGATTCTATGGGCAAAATATTGAACAATAAAGAAAAGCATCAAAAAGAGGATGGAAGGAATACAGAGTAACCAAGAAGAATTGGTGGCCATTGAACCATTTTAAGAGGTCAAGAACTGAAGATAATTGAAAGAAAAAGTTGCACTGAAAGCATTGGTGAAAAACAAGTCTCACCGAATTGACAGAATCCCCATGAAAATGTCCCAACAGTTTGATGCAGTGCTGGAGGCACTTACTTGTCAACAAAACAAGTTGGAAGATAGCTACCTGCCCAACTGATGGGCCGAAATCCGCATCTGTGCCCATTCCAAAGGAAGATGCCTCAAAAGAAATAGGAAATTCTTAAATGACTTGATCACACCTAGCAACTTATTCCCATTCCGAAAACCTCTTAAGCATCTAGAATCGTTGGTGAAGGTACCACTGTTTGAGGATTACCATGCTTTTTTGTCTGCTCTAGCCCACAGTCAAGTTTGATGTTACTGCCGGAGTTAATTCCCACCCCCACCCACTAGAGAGTTCAGGAAAGTCACTTCAGTAGGTGGTGCTTGATCTCAAACTTTCTGGGACATTGGATTAGTGAGATCACAGCAATTTGATTTGTGTATGAAAATATGACAATATTAAGATTTTAAAACTACCTAGTCTTCTGTTGTTTG